CCTGCTTATCAGCTGTGTGGCCTTGGGCAGGTGACCCCACCTCTCTGAGCCCCAGTAAATAGGTGGTAATAAGGGAGGGTCAAAGGAGGTCATGGGGGTGGCGGGGTAGTGAGGACAAAATTCAGTGATCTGTGTAGAACCCTTAGCTTAGTACCTAGCATACAATATATATAATAAGTGCTCAGTAAGGGCACCTGTGTGGCTCAGTCCATTAAGTGTCTGCCTTCGGCTCAGGTCATGAACCCAAGGTCCTGGGATTGAGCCCCGCATGGGGCTCCCTGCCCAGCCAGGAGCCTGCTTCTCCCTCTCCCTCTGCCTGCCCCTACCCCTGCTTGTGCACACATGTTCTCTCTCTCTCAGATAAATAAATAAAATCTTTAAAAAATAAATAAATGCTTGGGCGCCTGGGTGGCTCAGTCGGTTAAGCAACTGCCTTCGGCTCAGGTCATGATCCCGGAGTCCTGGGATCGAGTCCCGCATCGGGCTCCCTGCTCGGCGAGGAGTCTGCTTCTCCCTCTGACCCTCCCCCGTCTCATGCTCTCTCTCTCTCATTCTCTCTCTCAAATAAATAAATAAAATCTTTAAATAAATAAATAAATAAATAAATAAATAAATAAATGCTCAATAAGTAAGAACTAATACTTTTAATGTAGGGAGCCAGCCCACCTTCTCGTCTTCCCTTTTTAAGCACCGAGAATTGAGATTTTATGCTCAAGAATTATTTTTTGACCTCTTCCTCTTGCCCTGTTGGAATCTGGCTGGTTGCTGGTTTCCCTCCAGAGTGGGACAGGCTGAGGTCTGTGATCCCCAGGGGCCTGGCCCCAGAGAACACTCATCTCCTGTCTCCGCAGCTCTGGGGTCCGGGTGGTGAGGTCAGCAGGGCGGCTGGTAGCCATGGCAATGGAATGTTTGGGAGCTGGCGCCCACAGGGAGTTTGCAGGGCTGGTGGCTGAGTCTGCGCACAGGGGCACCGGGCCACCCTCCAAGGCCACCCTGTAAGTGCAGTCGCCTGCCTGCTTCTCTGGCATCCTGTGCTCCATCCCCCCTCCCCAGCCCCGGGAACCTCTCAGCCTGGAGAAATCACGCTGAGTTAGAAAGTTCACACGAGCCTGAACCCAGACTGGTGTGGTCTCTGTAAATGTCACCTCCTTCTGTGACACCTTATGACACGTCTCCCCCACCCCACTGTGGGCATTTCCTTCCAAGCATTTGTCACAGGTGTCATTATCCCACACGCAGCTTTCCTTGCTCCCCGCCAGGATGTCAGCTCCATGAGGGCCGGGCCCTTTGCTGCCCTCCATGTGTCCCAGAGCCCCCATCAGTGCCTGGCACACAGTAGGTGTAAACGTTCGTGGAATGAATGAACGTGGGTCTAAAGGGATCTCGAACACTGGACAGCCCTCCCCCTGTCCCTCCCTTCCAGTGGTCATTCAGGGAAACCCATGGGCTGGTGCAGAGAGAGAGAGAGCAGAGTCCCTCCTGGCCTCCCCTGCTGCCCCCATTCTATGAGTCACGTGACGTGACGCCCAGGACAGCATCTTGGGGACATAGCCAGCTTTGGAAACTGACGCTTCTTCCTGCTAGATATGTGGCTTCTGCAAACCACTTCAGCTCTCTGTCTTTCAAGCTCCTCACCCATCAAATGGAGATAAAAGACCTCACCTTAAGAGGTTCTGCCCAGCATGAAATGAGAAAGGGAAAGGGCAATGGGTAACAGCACTCGCTGTTTGCCAGGCGCTGGTCCAACATTTTCTAACTTATTTACACCTCCCAGCACCCCTAGGAGGCGAGTTACTCGTTGGCACTGACCACACTGCAAATGCCCTATGAGTTATTGCTGTCGCCCCCATTTTACAGATGCAGGAACTGAGGTTCAGAGAGGCTCGGTGACTTGCCTGAGGTCACACAGCCAGTGGCTGGTGGAGCCACAATCCGAGCCAGCCCAGGCAGCCTGCGCCCCACCCCCGACTATGCGTGGCATAGAATTCAAAAAAAATAAATACTAGTTGTTCTGTTATTTTATTCTAGAGAAAGGCAAGATGACAACACTCTGAAAGTATGTCTTGAGGAGAAACATGTTATCAGCAAGCACCACTCCTGATGGCCTTTCCAGTCGTATTTCCTTCTCATCTTTTTATCTTTTTGTGGTTTGTGTTTGCTGTTTGGTTCAGCTGAGGTGGCGGTTTTGCTCTTGGGCATAATTATGCGCATCCTGCCCCCACAAGGGCCTGTGTCCTCCATAAACTGGAGAACTGGGGAGGGGGACCTTCCCCACCCCACCCTGACACAAGGGGCTGTGTGAGGATGAAATGTGGTCTGGTGCCAAGTACATAGTGGTGCTTAATCAGTGCCGCCTTTCCTCCTACAAGAGAAGGGGGGCTCAGTGACCCCCACGCCCATGCATCTCATTTGTCTTCCAAATCAGCGCCCTCCAGTAGAACTTCCTGCCAGTGATGGGAATGTTCTAGAGCGGGGGTCTACAAATTCATCCTATAAATGTCCAAATAGTAAGTATTCCAGGTTTTGCAGAATGGGTAAGGTTTTTGTTGCTGCTTCTCTCCTTTTCCCTGGCCCCCCTCCTCTTCCCCTCTTTCCTCTTCTTTCCCTTAAAAAAAGGTAAAATCCATTCTTTTTTTTTTTTTTTAAAGATTTTATTTATTTATTTGAGAGAGAGAGAGAACACAAGCAAGGAGGGGAGGGGCAGAGGGAGAGGGAGCAGACCCCTTGCTGAACAGGGAGGCCCGGATGATGCGGATGATGCGGGGCTCCATCCCAGGACCTTGGGATCATGAGTGAGCTAAAAGCCATTCTTAGCTCGAGGGCTGAAGGTTGGATTTGGCCCGAGGGCCGCTGTTTGCTGACCCCATCCCAGACCTGCCCTGTCCAGCAGGGTACCCGCCCTGCTCCCCATCGGCTACCAGGCACTTGAAATATGGTGGGTGCACACAATGAGTTGAATTTAAAATGTTTTTTTCATTTTACTTAATTTAAATGTAAATGCCTGACAAGTGGTCTGTGCCCCCCAGTTGACAAGCAGCTCTGAAGGACTCGAGGCTGTGGCAGCCCCCACCTCCCGGCCTGTGGCTGGCAGGCCTGTCTCAGCGCTGTGGCATTTCAAGGGCCGCCCGAGGGCAGCTGGGCCCCAGCCATCTCCTCTCTGGCCGCAGGAAGCGCTTCAAGTGCCCTGTCCCTAATTGTTTTTATTTGTTCCAAGAGGCAGGCCTCTGCTGTGGGCCACCAAGGTCCCAGGAGCATCAAGGCCTGTGTACTCTGAGGCTCAGGGGCGGGGTGGGGGGAGTGCTGGTTGCTGTGGTTACACCTGGACCCCCCCCCTTCTCCATCTGTGTGTACTGAGAACTCGGCAGCCTGCTTTTGTGAGGGTAGACACAAAATAGAGAGGCGAGGAGTGAGCTAAGGGGGAACGAGGACAGAGAAATGCAGTAAAGGCCTTACACCTGGAGGATCTCCAACGCGGCACAAAATAATCGCGGAGATTTCTGAGTGCTCGCTATAAAAGGGTCATCGTGAGCTTTCAACAAATGACAACCCATTTTACGGAACAGGAAAACTGAGGCTCAGAGGAACAATGATTTAATGTAGTCAGGGAGTTGTCCAACCGTAGAGCTGTGTTCTGAACCACCTCCATGTCCTGGGAAGGGACCAAGAGCTCCAGACTCCGCATGTGAGTCTGTGACATGATTTCCCTCGTGGGCCTCAGTCATCCCATCTGTAACATGGAGGGAGGCGAGAACCAGACTAGAAATCCCCACCCTGAAGAGATGTACACCAGGAGCCCCTTGGTTCCACATCCACCCCAGCTTCCTGCCAGACCCCGTCGTACTCATGGACCCGTTCCTTTAGCGCGATGGTTAAGAGCCGGGCGTCTGGGGGCGCCTGGGTGGCTCAGTCGGTTAAGTGTCTGCCTTCGGCTCAGGTCATGATCCCGGGGTGTTGGGATCGAGTCCTGCGTCAGGCTCCCTGCTCATCGGGGAGCCTGCTTCTCCCTCTCCCTTTGCCCCTCTCCCTGCTCATGCTCTCTCTCTCTCTCTCTCAAATAAATAATTAAAATCTTGGAAAAAATGAAAAAAGAGCTGGGTGCCTGAGTCTCACAGATCTGGATGGGGATCCTGGTTCTGGAAGTCCCCTGGGTCAGTTGCTTTTCGTCTTGGGGTCTTTTTCTCTTCTTTAAAATTGGGATCCTCGGGGCGCCTGGGTGGCTCAGTTGGTTAAGCGACTGCCTTCGGCTCAGGTCATGATCCTGGAGTCCCGGGATCGAGTCCCGCATCGGGCTCCCTGCTCAGCGGGGAGTCTGCTTCTCCCTCTCACCCTCCTCCCTCTCAGGCTCTCTGTCTCTCATTGTCTCTCTCGCAAATAAATAAATAAAATCTTAAAAAAAAAAAAATAAAAATAATAAAAAAAAATAAAATTGGGATCCTCATACTCTCCTCCAAGGGGGACTAAATGAACAAGGCACTTAGGCATTTGGTCGTATTTGCTGGCAGCTATAGGACAGTGTACCACTCCGAGGGCCCCGTATTTATCCTAGGCTAGGTATGTGGTGCCTACCCTTTTGGAGTTGGACAGTGTACCTGTTCAACCATACCCAGCAGCCCTGGATGGTGATTAGTGGTATAGTGGTGGTGATTGTTGCTTATCCTTATATTTACTTTTCCTGAAGTCCAAGGTCCTTGGCCGAAAGAAAGGGAGAACCCCGGCTGGCAGAGACCCAGGGGCTCCCTAAGGCAGCAGTGCCTTAGCTCACATTCTGAGCAGTGAGCCAAGTTCATTCCCTGTAGGACCAGGCCAGTTCAGACCCCAGCCGTGGCATCTTGGGTTCAGATGGTCTCCCCTTGCACTCCAACTCGTCCCCCAGAATACTTCCCTCCAAAATCATCGCCGGATGCCCACTGGGGAGCCTGACACCCTCCTCTGCCCCTCTGAGGGGGCCCGGCCCCTCCATAGCACCCACCGCTAATGCATCCTCTCCTTTGCCTCTGCAGGGGTCAGCTGGCAGACCATCTTGGCGAGGGGCCACAAGGGCTGGAACCCAGCAATGAGAGTGCCCAGGGGAGGTAAGTGCCTCCAAAAGGCCCCCAGAGTCCGGGCTCCTCCAGAGACTGCCCTAGAAAGAGCCGCTCTACTCTCCCGGCTCTGTTACTGGGCAGCCACACTCCTCTGGCTGGTGGTGTCCTCTCCGGTAGAAATGCCGTGCTAGACAGAGCTGGGTCGCAGCAGCATGCAGGGATGCAGGGGGCAGGCCTCTGCGGCTCTTCGTCTCATAGAGAGATGATCCTGGTGGTAGGAGAAGGCCGAGTCCCACAGCAGGCAGGGGACTTGGGAGCAGATTCAGGGCACGGCCAGAATCCAAACCCTCTGCGTCCCGTCTGCCCAGCGCTAGGGTTTTGGTCTGCTGGCTCAGCACCTCACCCAAAATTTCCCTGAACCTCATAATAGCTCCCTGAGAGAGGGTTATTATTATGATCCCCCCACTTTTTGGAGGGGTGAAGTTCCTTGTCCAAATCACCAGCTGGCAAGTGGCAGAGGCAGGATTTGAACCCGGGGCTGTAAGATGCCACGTCTGAGGCTCTCACCCACCATCCTCATTGCCAGGACACTGGGACACCTCCCTTGACAGGGTCCACTGGGGTAGTGGAGGCAGAAGGCCCGTCCGAGTTCCCGGGCTGGGCGCTCTGGCTCCTCCGGAGTTGGGGTCCCTGGCTGTGGATGGCCAGGAAGCTGCCTTTGGCTTTGTGGGTCCCCGGCTATCTCTCTCTGCCAGGTCACCCTCCCTTTTCTTCTCAAGGTGTCCCCCAGCTCTTTGCTGTCTTCTGCTCAGGGCTGACCCGTCTGCTTTGAGCTGTTTTCTTCTGATGACAGAGACAGGCCTGTGGCCACATCCTATCTGAGGACAGCGAACAGCTCGGCCTCAGCCTGGCCAGATCCAGGCCTGCCACTCCGGCCGTGCGACCCTGAGCCAGTGGCTTCTTCTCTCTGAGCTGTTGAGGGCAACGCTTCCCTACCCCAGGGTTGGTAGAGACGGTCCCACTACATGACACATGTTTTCAAAGTTTTCGCCATGCAAGTGCTTCATAAATGTGAAAACACAAAAAGCAGGCGCCTTGTTTTAAAGTGTTATAGCCACGGGCGCCTGGGTGGCTCATTTGGTTCAGCATCTGAGTCTTGATCTCAATTCAGATCTTGATCTCTGGGTCGGGAGTTCAAGCCCTGCCTTGGGCTCCATGTGTGGAGCGTACTTAAAAAAAAAAAAAAAAATTAAAATTAAGTGTTGTAGCCAAATGAATGGTCAGTATTAAGCAAACTTGGTGTGTCAATAACATTTTCCTTATTCCGCCTATCCATTCTTCCAGGCCTTTCTCCCCGATATTTAGAATCCAAACCAGTTCCAACCCCAAACATAAGCTAGAGAGTTACACACACACACGCATACACACACAAACGCGCACGCGCACGCATACACAAGCATGTACACTGTACCTATCCTTTCTGGAAACAGCCTTCCCAAAGTACCCCTTTTCTTCCTGTCTCTGCACCCCCCCATTGCCTTCTGTTCCCCCAAAGCTCCATTCTCTCCATCCCTGCCAAGTGTCAGGAGGAAAGGGTAATTCAAACTAAAGTGTGGTTGACTGTCCTCCAGGAGCACCGGCACTGAAATAATAAACAGAATTCTAGTCTCGAGTCTAAGAGGAGGATTTTAATGAGCACTTGAATAAGTTGATGGGTCTTTGGAGAGATTTCCAAGTAGCTTTATGTCCTGTCCAGCCTGCCTTAGCCCTGAGTAGCTCTGGAATCAGATTTCCCCATCCCAGACCCTGAATTCAGGGCACCAGGGAACCCCCACCATGATTGGCAGCATAGGACAGACGCGGTTTTCCGGGGAGAGGGCCCCAGCCATTTCCCGATGCTCAAGAGGCCAGGGACCCCAGGCTGAGATTAATCTGTGCTGTGTCAGTCGCTTCTAGAACCCTCCCAGCAGCATTTGAGGTCAATGCACCCCACCCCTCTTTGCAGCCAGGAAGCTGTGGTTTACGTGGGGGAAGTGACTCTCCCAAAGCCACTTGGTCAGGAAATGCTGGGGCCTCTCAGCAGTTTGGACCCCAGGGCTGAGATTGTGCGTTGGATGTTGATTTCCTACTTGCTATGGCCCAAGGGGCTCCAGGCAGCCCAGACCTTCGCGGGTGGATCCGTGCGGCTGCAGACCGGGTCCTTCGGTGGTTTTGGCTGAACCTCATGTCCTTCGAGAAACACCGGCTCCCACTCCCTTCCCACAGACCTTGGCTGCATTTAGCTCCCCCACCGTGCTGCGTTCTTCCCCTGACTGTGCCTTCGCACTGGCTGTTCCCTTTGCCAGGAACACCCTCCTCTCTCTTCCCCACCTGGCTCTTTGAAAACCAGCCATCTGCTAGGCAGACTCGGCACGAGGGCCAGCACCTGCAGGAAGCCTCCCCTCACCTACTCAGGTAGAGCCCGTCACCCCCTCCCAGGTATGGCTCCATAGAGTGGGCAGACTTGGGGGGTAGAGGCTGTGTCTCTTGGCTCCCTAGCCCAACTCCCGGCACACGGGAAGTACTTGCTGATTGTGGGAATAAAGAAATAGCCAATGATCATGGCAGAGACCACTGATAATATCCTTTCAAATGCTCCCCACGTGCCAGGTGCGTTCCTCAGTTCTTAAGGGAGTCATGTAATGGTCGTGCCAGCCCTTTGAGGTTGATCCTCTTGGACCCATTTTATGGATGAGGCTCAGCGAGGTGAAGTGTGGTGCCCAAGCTCACACAGCCACACAGGAAGGGGAAGAGCTGGGATTTGAACCCAGGCCTGCCTGCCTCCTTGAATGCCCACAGACCTCAAGACCTCACTTTGATTCTGCAAAGACGTGGGAAAGGCAAAGGAGGGGCCTTGAGGATAAACTAGGGAGGAGGGCAGGCCTGTCATTTGAGGTGACTAGAGAAAGGGGGTGGCTGAGCTGGGTGGGCCCTGCTTACCGAAACAAGCCCCAACTTGAAGAATTGCCACTGAAGTCTGATCATCGTCCCTGGGAGGCATGAGGAATGTAGGCTCAGGCTCATAATTCATATCCTCAGTCATCCTCTGCCCCTGTCCCCACGTCACCCTCACTGTCCCGGCATCCCTGAGTCTCCCGAGGACCAGGACACCAGCAGGAGCCTCCTCCCTGACCTCCCTGCCTCCATTCTCACCCCTGTGGGCTCTCTCTCTGGGTGCTGCCCTGAGAGTAAGTCCAGCTCCCTCCCCTGTCCCCTGAGAACTTGTGTGGCTTCTGTGCCCCCCAGTTTTTCCCTCTCCCTCCCTTCTGCCTCCTGAGGTTCTTGAACACCCCCACACCCTCTCCCATCTGGGGCTCTTTGCATTCGCTGTTCCCTCTGCCTGGAGCACTCCTCCCACACATCTTCACATGGCTGGCTCCTTCTCATCCAGGACTCAGCTTGAATGCCACCTCCCCCGAGAAGCCCTCCCTGACCTCCCTCCTCCTTCCCCTACTTGATCCCTCTCACTGTGTAAGCCGTTTTTAAAACCCTGTGGCCATTGCTCGTGTACTATCGCTTCCCCCACTAGGATGCGAGCTTCTTGAGTTCAAAGGCCCTGCTGTCTTACCCACTTTCCTGTCCCCAGCACTGAGCGCGATGCCAGCACCTTTTTTTTTTTTTAAAGATTTTATTTTATTTATTTGACAGAGAGAGAGACAGCTAGAGAGGGAACACAAGCAAGGGGAGTGGGAGAGGGAGAAGCAGGCTTCCCGCAGAGCAGGAAGCCCGATGTGGGGTTCGATCCCAGGACCCTGGGATCATGATCTGAGCCGAAGGCAGACGCTTAACGACTGAGCCACCCAGGCGCCCCAGCCTTTTTATACTTAATACCCATTTACCAAATGAAGACCGAGTGAATGGGTAGTGATTCCAGAAGAAGCCCAGAACAGGATGGGATATTCCACACCATCTGCTGGCTAGCAGTGTGGTCCTTCAGAGCAGGCCGGCCTGGGCTGGAATTATTGGATACCAGCTCTGCTGCTCCCCAGCTGGGCATCCCTTTCCTCCTCTTTCTTTCTTTCTTTCTTTCTTTTTTTTAAGATTTTATTTACTTATTTGACAGAGAGCACAAGCAGGGGGAGTGGCAGGCAATGGGAGAGGGAGAAGCAGGTTTCCCGCCGAGCAGGGATCCCGATTCCGGACTCGATCCCAAGACCCTGGGATCATGACCTGAGCCAAAGGGAGATGCTTAACCGACTGAGCCACCCAGGTGTCCCTTTCCTCCTCTTTCTACGGCCCTCATGTCCTAGCATTTCTGACCTCACCCTGCTCCTTCAACCAAGGCACATGCCCCAAATCCTTCCCGAGCACATGCGAGGTGCCAGGCGCTGTGCTAGGCCCTGGAGAGACAGCCACGAACAGAACATGCAAACACCGTGCCCTTGCCAAGTGGATATGCTGCTGAATTCGGACATTCCAGAGCATTGTTAAATGTGGAAACATTTTGAGAGTCGATTTGAGAGTAATTATGACTCTCCACCTGTCAGATGAAGCCTGCGATGGGGGTGTGTTTGGTTAGGGCCGGCGGCTCACAGGCGTCCCTCTCTCTCCCCAGATGCGAGCCCCGCTGGCCCCCCGGTGACCTGTCGCTGAAGCAGGCCCGCCACCCCAGGCCCAGCATGCGCCTGTCGGTGCGGAGGGCGCTGCTGGCGGCCGGCTGCGCGCTGGCCCTGGTGCTGGCGGTCCAGGTGGGGCAGCAGGTGCTGGAGTGCCGCGCGGTGCTGGGGGGCCCGCGCAGCGCCCGGCGGGCCATGCGGCCCGAGCAGGAGGACCTGGTGATGGTGGGCGCGGACCACGTGGAGTACCGCTACGGCAAGGCCATGCCGCTCATCTTCGTGGGTGGCGTGCCCCGCAGCGGCACCACGCTCATGCGCGCCATGCTGGACGCCCACCCCGAGGTGCGCTGCGGCGAGGAGACGCGCATCATCCCGCGCGTGCTGGCCATGCGCCAGGCCTGGTCCAAGTCCGGCCGCGAGAAGCTGCGGCTGGACGAGGCGGGCGTGACGGACGAGGTGCTGGACGCCGCCATGCAGGCGTTCATCCTGGAGGTGATCGCCAAGCACGGTGAGCCGGCGCGCGTGCTGTGCAACAAGGACCCCTTCACGCTCAAGTCCTCCGTGTACCTGTCGCGCCTGTTCCCCAACTCCAAGTTCCTGCTGATGGTGCGGGACGGCCGGGCGTCCGTGCACTCCATGATCACCCGCAAGGTCACCATCGCGGGCTTCGACCTCAGCAGCTACCGTGACTGCCTCACCAAGTGGAACAAGGCCATCGAGGTGATGTACGCCCAGTGCATGGAGGTGGGCAAGGACAAGTGCCTGCCCGTGTACTACGAGCAGCTGGTGCTGCACCCCCGGCGCTCCCTCAAGCTCATCCTGGACTTTCTGGGCATCGCCTGGAGCGACGCCGTCCTGCACCATGAGGACCTCATTGGCAAGCCCGGTGGTGTGTCCCTGTCCAAGTGAGTGGAGCCCTCGCCCTCCGCCCAGCCCCCTGGCCTGGCTCAGAGGCAGTAGGTGGGAAGAGTAGCTCTGTCTCTCTGAACACTGTGGCCTTGGGCAAGTCACTGTGCCTCTCTGAGCCTCAGCCTTCTCTGTGGGCATGGAAAAGATCTGGGAAGACAGTGGTTAAGAGCGAGCCTTGAATTGTGCCTCCCTCCTCATAGTTCTGTGGCACTGACCAAGTCACTGTGCCTCTGTTAGCCTCAGCTTCGTTATCTACAAAAGTGGGGCCATTGGCCCTTCCCTTTTCCGAGAGAATCAGCAGGCTTTGAATGTGCTTTGTAGTAAGCTGTTGTGGGTAAAGGTTAACTTAAGAACACCAATCTGGAACCAGGTTGTCTGGGTTCCCATCCCAGCCCTGCCACTTCCTAGCTGTGTGACTTTGAGCAAGTGTCTCAACCTCTCTGTCCCCCATTTCCTTATCTGTAACATGAGGCTGTAGTCTATAAACCTTCTAGCTACCTATGAGCATCAAATAGGTAAATACATGTTAGGTGCTGTTATTCCTGTTACTATTATTATCGTCTTAGCATTGACATGGCTTTTATTGGCACACACATTATCCTCACCCTCATTACCATGGAGTGAGTGCCTGAGGTGTGGTAAGCACTCAGTTAAACCCCCAACGCACATTATTCCTTTAGTCCCCACAGCAGCCTGTGGACATAAGAACTGCTCCTATCCCCATTTTACAGATGAGGAAACTGAGTCTCAGAGAGAAGTTACCTAAGGCCACACAGCTGGCAAAGTGTGGTGCCAGGATTTGAACCGAGGTCTGTTGGGGAGTCCAGAGCCTGTGTTCTCAAGCTCTCTACATCCGGGACCCCTCCTCTTTCCCTCCTGTCTCTCGCTCTCTGCATTCTTCCTTTGGGGAGCTGTCCTTCTCCTGAGACCCAGAGCGTGTGAACAGTGCAGGATCAGAATATGCCGTCTCTCTGTCTCCATTCTGATCAGGCCCAGGCACCCCCGAGATGCTGGAGCTGGGGTTTTGTAAATTATCATGACCAAAAAAAATCAGACGACTGTAGGAAGTGAAAGGAAAAACAGCCTACTATCCTACCATGCAGATGTTGACCTAGGATGCACTGGTTCTTTGTCAGGGGCTGTGGAGAAAACCAGAGCCCTCCTGAACCCGAACATGCCTTCTTGTAACCTTTTTTCACTTTGTGTCTGGGACCACTCGCCCATGACCCCCCGCCTGCCACCGTGACATCATTTTGGACGGCTGCATAATATTCCACTCCGCGGAGCACAGCATTCTATTCAACATCCCCTGTTTGTGGACACATGGGTTATTTCCAGCTTTCTTTACTCCTATCAAGCATTGCTCCCATCCATGTCCTGGGATGTCTGCCTCTGTGTCCTTTCTGTCTCACACAGTCCTGGAGATCCAGAGCGTGGAAAGGCCATGCATATATTTGAGGTCTTTGACACAGTGAACCGAGTTGAGATTTCCATCCTGGTCTGCAGACTCCAAACCCATTGCTCTTCCCACCCATCCCCACCCTTCATACTTCCCTCTCTCTTCCCTCCCGGTCCTGGCCTCTTTTTGCCACATCTTTCTTGTTTCCATTCTTCTTCCCAATTTATCTCTTAGTTGGGATGGAAGCATCTAGAAATAGACCCTGGATCCTGGGAGTTCCCTGCCCTCCATCGTACAAGGCCTTTCACCTGTGATCGGTAGGGTCCTTGTGATTCAGATGGCTGGGTGAGCCCATCATAGGGGAGCGTGGAGAAGCACATCTGACAGGATGGTTGTTCATTGTCGTAGCCCAGGGTGAAAGCAATGGAAATGGCCATCTTTAGGGGCATGGGAAAAATAAGCTGTGGAGGAATGCTGCATAGCTGGAGAAAAGAATGTGGCATCGGGTACAAAACAAAGCCATAAACCAAAACAGTGTATGATTTTTGCTTTAAAAACTGCAAACGAAAGTATAGGCTTTCTGTGTGTGCGTGAGTGAGAGAGAAAGTGAACATCTCCTGAGACCTCACAATGTGCCATATACCTCTCTGAGATTAACTCATTTACTCTCCAGAACAGCCTGGTGAGGTGGGTTCTATCTACAAGTCCGTATTTGTAGATGAGGACTAATGGAGGAGGCTCAGAGAGGTGAAGTAACTTTCCAAGGCCACACAGCCAGTGTGGGTCCAGCTGGCATTTGAACCCTGGCTCCTGGGTCTGCCCTTAGCCACTCTCCTGTATAAAACACAGAAAATGGATTGAGAGGGTGGACCCCCCCTCCCCAGATGCTAAGACGAGGTCCCTGTAGGGAGCTGCTGCTGGGAGTGGTGGCCACTCTTAGCCTTAGCATTTGTGTTTTATAATTCTTTCTCAAGAACAAAATATCCATCTTAGTCACAAAAATAAAACGTTATTTTTAAAAAGCCATGACGTCAAGGAAGCAGAATTTTCAGTGCAAACTGCCTAATACTGTCTTCTGGTTTCTCACCGCGTGCTCTTATCCCCAATGTACAGAGGAGGTATGAGGAGGCCAAGCGACTTGCCCGCAGCCTCATAGTCGAGGAGGCACAGCTGCCCCAGGGCCCGGTACCCCCAGTGTGTCCAGCTGCCCCAGGTGCCATCCGGGTCTCCCTGTGCCCCGCGCAGCCTCTTCTTTCTCCCCAGGATCGAGCGATCCACAGACCAGGTCATCAAGCCTGTGAACCTGGAAGCGCTCTCCAAGTGGACTGGCCACATCCCTGGGGATGTGGTGAGGGACATGGCTCAGATCGCCCCGATGCTGGCTCGGCTCGGCTATGATCCCTATGCAAACCCACCCAACTATGGCAATCCTGACCCCATCGTCATCAACAACACGCACCGGGTGAGTGCGTGCGCACGCGCGGAGATGCGCTCTCGGCCTGCCCTGGGGATGGGACATGGCGAATCCTATGATTGCTTGTATTTCCATTTTCACTTGGGCCGCAAGGAAGCTCAAAACCAACTGGTAGCCTGTCTCTCACACTAGAGCATCTAACAGTGGGTCCATTTGTGTACTGACTTCAACCGGTTTCTCTGTTCCTGTTCACCCTTTTCCCACTGTGTCCCTAGCTGTCTGTCTCTAAAGCTTGTCAAGTCTTTGTTGAGCCTGAGTATGAATAAACTGTTGGTCCTTTTATTGCCCCCATAAATTTTAATGTTGATTTCTCAGATAGATGTGAGCTCAGGGCAGTTTAACGTACTTTTTAAGCTCTCCTTAGTTGAGACGGTCAAGGAAAATGACTTCGATGAGATGTTTTTGAAGTGTTAAAAGTCAGCTAATCCTGCATAAAGGAACAGTCAGCAAGTTCATGGTCTTATTTACATGTTGCTGTCACAGCTTCTGGTCTCCTTTGGGTGTGGTGTTGTGACTTCCTTAGAGGCACTGAGTTAGTGAAAGTATTTGAGCATGGGGCCCAGGCCTGAGGACAACGGGCCCTGCTAGCGCTCACACCATTAAGACCCGAGTCTTAATTCCAGCTATGCCCAGCATTTCCAAACACATGCTGATTTTAGAAAGTAAACAGTTCTTTTTTTTTTTTTTAAGATTTTATTTATTTACTTGAGAGAGAGAGAGAAAGAGAGACAGCATGAACAAGGGGTCTGACACGGGGATTGATCCCAAAACCTTGAGATCCTGACCTGAGCTGAAGGCAGATGCTTAACCGACTGAGCCACCCAGGCATCTCAGAAAGTAAACAGTTCCTATGTTGAAGAGCCAAGGAAGAAAGTCAGAACTTCTGTCACTTCCCCTTTAATTCTTCAGTAACTCAAGGAGAAAGACTCCCGTTTGGTGCTAACAAGGCTTCAACGCCTCTCCCACATGGGCAGGCTCTCTTAACCCTGAGCTTTGGGGGCTCAGCCCTTGTGATGAAAGCGGGTCTCAGCGTTTCCTCTCTCCCTTGACTGTGGATTTTGCAAATCTGTGGATTTTGCAAACATCTATTTGTGGAAATACTCAGAGATCCACTGGAAATGCGCAGGCCGTGTTGATAGTGTGAATATTCGCAACCTGGATGTGGTCTATTTTTTATTATTCAATTGTTTTAAGTCTTTTTTATGTTTATTTTTTAAGAGTATTCTTTAGACTGTACTTAATGTGTTTCATACACTTAACTCTGCACATACGCTGTATTTCATATAATATTTATATATATTGCATATATCTTCATATAATAAAAAAATCAATTAACTGGATTAAAAAGAATAAACAGCAGTTGGAAGTGATCTTGAACTCCATCCCCCAGGCGCCAGGGTGAGGACCGCAGTGACAATGGGCTCTCCTTAACCCTGTGTTCTTAGCCAAGGGCCCAGCGGCAACTGCTCTGAAGTCTCTTTAAAAGGCGGAGGCCCGGGGCGCCTGGGTGGCTCAGTCGGTTAAGCCTCTGCCTTCGGCTCAGGTCATGGTCCCAGGGTCCTGGGATCGAGCCCCGCTTCGGGCTCCCTGCTCGGTGGGAAGCCTGCTTCTCTTTCTCCCGCTCCCCCTGCTTGTGTTCCCCCTCTCGCTGTGTCTCTCTCTGTCAAATAAATAAATAAAATCTTTAAAAAAAAAAAAAGGCGGAGGCCCAGGGTACCTGGGTGCCTCAGTGGGTTTAGGGACCAACTCTTGATTTCGGCTCAGGTCATGATCTCAGGGTCTTAAGATGGAGCCCCAGGTTGGGCTCTGCGCTCCGCGGGGAGTCTGCTTAAAGGTTCTCTCTCTCCCTCTCCCTCTGCCCCTCCTGCTTGCTCTCACACGCTCGCTCGCTCTCAAAAAAAAAAAAATAATAATAATAATAATAATAATAATTAGTAAATAAATAAAAGGCGGAGGCCCCTGGCTTTGTCCCAGGATGCCAATCAGAAGCTCCCAGAGTAAGGCCTGACCTTGTGTATTGTATACAAATTTAAACATTTTGATGCACAAGATCAACTTTCTGAGCCTCTATCTTCCATTTGTTTCAAAGGGAAGATGTCCCTGGTTTCTTCCCAGGGGCTGCCCGACCCTTGTTTCGTCTCTATGGTAGTTCTGCTATTACCGTGAAGATACGGTCCCTCATTGAAAACCGCGCATGCGTGCGTGCGGGCGTGCTTCTGCGCATGTGTGCGTGCGTCCGTGCGTGCGTCTCTGTAGACACCGGGTGTTCCTCTAACAGATCCCACGCTGCGGGATGCTCAGGCAGAGAGAGGTCCCGGTGCTAATGAACTTGTCTGCACCTGCCCTGTCCGTCACAGCTGCCCGCCACCAACCTCCTGTGGCCACGGGATGTGACTGGTGGAATCGGGCCCAAATTGAGAGGCGTTGTGTAAACTACGCACAGGATTTTGAAGTCCTGGTAGCAAAGACAGCATGTCAACTTTCTCGTGAATCATTTTTATGTTAATTATACGTTGAAGTATGAATATTTTAGATATCTCAGGTTAGATGAAAGATAGAACTGGAATTATTTCACTTGATTCACTTTTTTGGGGTCCCTTTTTTTTTTTTAGATATGACTACTAGACAACTTAAAATTACATAGTTGGTTCACATTACGTTCAGTCAGACCGTGCTGGTCTATATGGTGGTTTATATATGAACAGATAGTGGAAAAGCCTGGGGTTTTCTTTTTTTTTTTTTTAAGATTTTATTTATTTATTTGAGAGAGAGAGAGAATGAGAGAGAGCACATGAGAGGGGGGAGGGTCAGAGGGAGAAGCAGGCTCCTCGCCGAGCAGGGAGCCCGATGCGGGACTCGATCCCGGGACTCCAGGATCATGACCTGAGCCGAAGGCAGTCACTTAACCAACTGAGCCACCCAGGCGCCCAAGCCTGGGATTTTCTTTGCCTCAGCTTTGTCCTCTGCCTGGCATGCTTTTCCTTCAGAGCTCGGCTTGGCTGATTTTCCTTGTCACTGAGGGCTCGGGTCAAAGGTCACCTGTTCTGAGAGGTTCTTTGGGACCACCTCAGAAGAAGCCCTTTAGTCACTCCTGATCACATCCCTTTGTTTTATTTTCCTTATGGTACTTCCCATGGTTTGATATATTCTTGTCTGTGTTTATTACTTGGGGATCCTCTGGCTCCCCCTCTAGAATGGAGGGTCCAGGAGAAAAGGAATTTTAATTGTCTGGTCAATATTGTACCTCTAGAGCTTAGAATAATGCCTGAAATAAGAGGAGCTCAATAAATGTTGGATGGATGGATGGATGGATGGATGGATGGATGGATGGATGTGTGTATGGATGGATGGATGAATGGATGGATGGCTAGGTGATGAATGGGTAGATGGATGGATAGATGGGTGGATGGTTGGGAGAGTAGAAAGTTGGGAGAGTGGATGGATGGGTAGGTGGATGGATGGTTGGATGGGTGGATGGGAGAGTAGGTAGATGGGTGGGTGGGTTGATGGATGAATAGGTCGGTGGTAAATGGGTAGATGGGAAAGTAGAGGTAACAGGATGAATTTTACTTTTTGATCATTTCCATAATAGAGATGCTTTGTTTCTCTTTCCTAGGTCTTGAAAGGAGACTATAAAACACCAGCCAATCTGAAAGGATATTTTCAGGTTAGAAACCCCAAGGGGAATTCTGAAATCTGTTTATTGGACTGTCCCACTAGCTTGCAGATGCCCTTAGACACTTCGCTTCTCTAATCTGGCTGATCATTTCCTCGTCAGAAAATTGGGTTGGGGGAGGGTAGGTCAGGCCAGGGGCCCTCCAAGTGTCTGATCCAGCTGGGGCCAAAGAGCAGCCCTTCTGCCCGTGCCCCTTCCATCGCCTTGTCTCCTGGCTTGAGAGCAGTTGGAGGGATCAGTGGGGGCTTTCTGTCAAACTCCCTGTCTCTAGCCTTAAATTCAGTTTTATATAAAGTGGCAGTCCCCAAACACAACCCAGCCTGGAATTTTCATCAGGCAACCAAAAAACGAGAACCATAAGGGTCACATGGGTGTGGGTATCCCCGCGAGTGTAGACATACAAATGCCCCTGCATCCCCACACCCATCTCCCTGGCTGTGCCTCCCACACATCCTGGGTATGTCTGTGGGGTGCGGTCCGTGCGTCATGTCAAGAAGAACTGCCCCCTTCACTGACATGATAGGGGTGCCAGAGAAGGGGTGCCAATCTCCAGTTTAATAATCAAATTCATGAATGCTAATTGTCTGGGGTCCATGGCTTGTGCACCCATCTTAGTTCCTTGCGGAGGGCTCCACGCTCCCTTTCTGGGAGTCGGAGACCCAGCCCATCCTCTTGCCGCTGTGAAAAAAATATTGCCAGGATTAGTCAGCATTAATTTATTGCCTGTTTTAACTGAAAAGATGATGTAACAAGAGCTACACACAGAAGTGGGGGTGAGGGGAATTAGTCACCACCCAGAATGCCTTTCATTTTTGCAGAGTATCCTTTTTTGCCCCCCTGAATAGGCACTTGGCACTCCTTCCATTTCCATCGAATGAGCTGCTTGGGTTTGCGTTCTTCGTGTTTTCCCATCTTTTGGGTTTCACTGTTGCCATTTGGGATGGTGCCATAGTATTCTCTGGAATGCATTATGAGCTATTGTTGCCCTAAGATCATGTCCAGTTTCTGCAGTGTCGCGAATGATGGCCTGTGCGCTTCATCTTGATCTTGCCTCTCTTATCTGGGGTGGGGTGGGGGACTCTTGAACCCTTCCCTTAGAAGACATTGCTATGGGGAGGCATCAGTGGGCAGAAGGGTCCGGTTCTTTTTGAGACTCTTGACCTAGAAGGCTAAACTGTTGTACAGAAGAGTCAGAGCAATTTACATTCTCTTGCGGTGTATGGCATATTCAAGATGTCTGGCTGGCCTGGGACTGTTTCTTGCTCTGTTAGGGGCAAACTGTGGAGGAATGGCATATGCCCTGTCATCACGAACACTGCCATGCTCCGGAGAGCTGCCCTGCCAACTGCATTGGGCCCCCGCTTTCCACCCTCCTCTTCCTCCCAGTCCTCCAAGGGGCACCTGACTTCCTTCAGGGTATCGCAAAAATTGGAAAACAGTCTACGGCAATAGTTACATACATGATGGCACATGCATTCCACGGGGTACTCTGTAGCCATCTAGAATGATCACCTTGAAACCCAAGAGATGGAAAAATAGTAAGCAGAACAAAGCAGCTCACACATTAGAATTGCAGCGAATGAAGAAAAAGAATCCTCATTCGCGAGGCACCAAACACACCCCCTTCCCCTCCCCCCCGCCCCATTCCAGGTCTTTGCTGTTCCTTTTGCCAGGAATGCTTTTCCAGCCAGGCCTTTGTGTGCCTTGCCCCATTTGCATTTTTTAGATCTCAGCTTATGGGATGTTTTCCAACACCAGCAACCAGTTCCTGATTCTCCAAACACCAACTGGATTTCAGGTTGCGCAGTGACGCCCAGAGTTCGTGTCAGACCCCACAGGATAAGGTCTTGGTCCCAGAAGACTGCCCCCCGCTTCAGATGCCAGCCACCATGGGTTCCCCGGCTACCCACATTTCTGCCCAGCCAACTAACATTTAAGAATTTGCTAGAACAACTCACAGGACTCAGGAAAGCGCTTTACTTCCTAGATTAGTGGTTTATTATAAAGGGTACGACCCAGGAATGGCCTTGGAAGAGGTACACAGGGCAAGGTACGGGGTAAGGGGTGTGGAACTTCTAGGCCCTCTTTGGGCACACTACCTACCCTCCTGCACCTCCATGTGCTCACCAATCTGGAAGCTTTCTGAAGCTGTCATTTAGGGGTTTCTGTGGAGCGTTCATGAAGTAGGTACAGTTGATTAAATCACTGGTATTAACTTACTCTCCAGCTCCTCTCCCCTCCCCAGAGTCATGCCTTGGTCTTTCTAAGCCACCAGTGCCCATCCTGAAGGCAGACACTGTCATCTCGTTAGTATACAAGAACTGCTTGTTATCACTCGGAGATTCTAGGGTTTTAGGAGCTCAGTGCCAGGAACTTGGGACAAAGAGCATATGTTTATTTTTCATTATGCTACAGCTTAAATGTCAACCCCTAATAGTAGCCTTTCCTGACCACCCTCTCTGAAGTAGCTCCAAAGTCACTCATATGAGCCCACTGTATTGCCCGGAGGTGTAGGGGACATTATCTTGCGTATGTGTTTGTAAAGGCTCTGCCCGCTGCCACATAAGCTGCAGAATAGGACCAAGTCAGTCATGTTCACAGCATCCCCAGCACCTGGCCTGTAGTAGGTGTGCAGTAAATACCCCATGAGCGAGTATGTGCCTTCCCCAGTGGTGCTTGAGGCTCAATCTCAGGGCAGTGGGATCCTGGCACCCCAACCTGGCTGTGACCCCTTCCTCTGTGTGTTGTCTTCCTCCAGGTGAACCAGAACAGCACCTCCTCCCACTTAGGAAGCTCATGATTTCCAGGTAGGCCTGCAGGCTTCCCTTCTCTCCCCCCACCTCCCTCCAATGCCTTCTGAGCCCAGGAGCTACTCTCCTGAAAAGCTTGCCCTTCCAGAGCCTCTCTGGGGGGGAGTGTCCACCAAGGTGGGCTGACCCAGCCCCAAGGGGGGGTTTCCATGGCGACAAGCTGGGGGAGCTATTTATAGAATTACAGCTTAGCCTCCTAGCTCTGGATCAGGTAGGGGCAGGGATCATTGCAGAACCAACCAGAAGATTTGTCTGACTTTGGGAAGGGGGCCCCAGGGACCCATGTGATGGAGGTAAGGGGTGGGATTCTAGAATATTTTGGCACAGAATGTTGTCTGTTTATCCTGCTTCTATAAACAGCATGGAGTTGGCCCAAAGCAATTAATGTTCTAAGAAAAGCTCCAAGCAGGTCTGGTCTAAGAATAACCCCAGGGTTTTGGACCAAGTGCTACTCCTGGGTTACTCCTTTAACGCTGAGGATCCCTGGGATGGCCGCTGACACAGAGAAGGAAGCTAGAACCCAAAGGGGGCCCTGACTTGCCCAAGATCACATAGCCACCAAGTGGCAGCATCCTCCTCCCCCCAGGCATCTTCTTCCAGAGTTTGCTTTTGAGGAACAATTCAAAGTGCAGTTCTATCCACCCGTATCTTGTGCGAGGGTAGGGGAACACGTTCTGACCTTGGGAAGTCAAAGGTTTAGGAACCCACTTCAGATTGGACCTCTCCCCGCCTCCGTTTGTGACATCCGGAGAAGGGGGACTCAGCCGGGTCAGCCTGCTTGGGTGGCCGGGAGATGAAGTGAGCTGGCCCAGGGGGGCACGTGGGAATCCAGGAAGCCTGGCATCCTCGCTATGCATGTGGGCGCTGGAGTTAAGGCCCCAGATGTGAACTTCCTCTGTCACTCGGGTGACCCCACAAGAGGTCAAAAGCGACTCACATGGGTGTTCTCCGTTTTGCTCTAGACTATGAAGAAGCTTCCAGCCTGGACTCTATTTTTAGTCTCCTGATCTTATTTTTAAATAATCAGCATATTTTCTAGTATCTTTTTTTTTTTTTTTCTTTTTAATCTACTTTGCCCCAGCCTCAGGCCCTTGTCATTATCAGGGATCCCATCTTGGGTGGTGCTGAGATCCCAATCCCAGAGTTCTGCTGCATTCCAGAGGCAAGAAACCTCCTGTGGAAGGGCTCCTGTCTCCATGATTCTCCCTGACATCTTCCCCTCGTTCTCGTTCTGCAGATTCTTTAGTAGAATTTTGCACCTTCCTGCTGACAAAAGCCTGATATATTCCTCGCTGTACTGTTTTTTTTTTTTAAAAGATTTTATTTATTTATTTGAGAGAATGAGAGAGAGAGAGCATGAGAGGGGGGAGGGTCAGAGAGAGAAGCAGACTCCCTGCCGAGCAGGGAGCCCGATGCGGGACTCGATCCCGGGACTCCAGGATCATGACCTGAGCCAAAGGCAGTCGCTTAACCAACTGAGCCACCCAGGCGCCCTCGCTGTACTGTTTAAATGAGATACCATACACAGGGTGCTTGAGCTCGTCCCTGGTAAACAGTTGGCCTGAAACAAAGGCCGATCCTTCCCTCGCCTCCAAAAATCCATTGGCATTTATGACATAATCATCACTACTCTCTCTTCATAAGTAGAGTCTGTCTTTGAGGTCAGGCAGATGCAGGTTGGGATGCAGGTGAGAACAGTTTTAAATTTAAATTCTCTCTGGCCATCTGGGGTCTGCTGACAACACCTCACCTGCTTTTGTGAATATGCATGAAGACCATCCGTTCCTATATCACACAGAGGAATATGAAGGGTCTGTCTGCCTCTGGGCCTAACACAGTTTTCTCCCTGTTCAGATCTCTGCAGATTGTTGCCGAGAGAAGACACTTGGCATTCGAGTGGAAATCGGACCTCTAATCCAAGCATATTGCTTGCTATTAATCGCCAAAACAGGACTGCTAACGAGGAATGTATTTGCATATGTTTGCAAAAGCTTCATCACTGAAAACTTAACCTGGAGACTCTCCAGCTTTGGACGCCCCTGGGGTGGAGAGCCAAGGGTGTGGCAGTAGTCCGGCTTTTGAAACTTAGGTATTTTTTAATCTTTCCCCTCAAGAACTTTTTTTTAAAGAAATGGATTTGCCATTTTTCTTAATTTGCAGGTCTGCCTTGGTGGCTTTGTTTGCGGGGACAAGGCCCACACCTGTGCCTCTCCTATTGACCCTTACTTTTCAATTCAAAGAATCTATTTAAGAATTTAATATATGAGGTTTTCTTTGATTCTTCCTTAGTTCTACTCAGATTCAGAGGAAAAAAAGTTATTGGAATAAAGTGAACAGGGACTCATTTGTCTGTGCCTGACTTTACAGAATGAACAGATTTTTTTTTTTTTCCTCCATATTGGATTTTTTCAGGTGGATTGATGACAGGCGAACAAGGTTCCCATTTCAGGTGCTCAGCAGGGCACCCTGAGCTCCTGTGTCGGGTCCCCTGAGGCTGTCCTTGGGATGGGCGGTTTGCTAGAGGGACTCCCAGACAAACTGCTGGACTCACAGTCACAGTTTATTACCATGACAAGATGCAGATTAAAATCTGCAAAGAAAAAAGGTGCAGAGATCAGGTACAGGGAGATCAGGAGTGAGCGTCCAGGGATCCTCACCCAGTGGAGGCTTACGGGCACGCTTAATTCTACCAGCCACGACAGGTGACAAGTATTGCCACCAGGAAAGCTTACCTGAGCCTTGGTGTGTGGCGTTTTTATTGGGCATCAGTCGTAGGCATGGGGCACTCATATGACTGACCTCAAGTACTCCGTCTCCAGCCCCTGCAGAGGTCAAGTGATCCGGCCTGATCCCAGGCCCCATCATAAATCACATTGTTAGCATAGACCATCAGGCCTGGTGTGGCCCAGGGTCCCTGGTATGCAAAGACACTTTTATTAGACAGGATATCTCAAAGGCTTAGAGATCATCTCAAGAGCTGGTCAAGGGCCAGTGTTTTCTTTGGCACATACAGGATGTGAACAGTCCCAGCCTGCTGGGCCCCAAAATGCTGCACGGCCCCCAGATGCTGAGGGGCCAGCTGGGCCCAGAGCAGTTTCTCGTCTTTAAGGGTTAAAGTGTTTTATCCACCCTCCCTTGCTTTGCAGGCTTTGGGGAGGCAGTGACTCCCAATGGTTTGGAGCATAGATTTTTGGAGTCAGGCCTAAGAACTTACTGGCTGTGTGGCTTGGGGCTTCATTTCTTCATCTGTAAAATGGGAAAGGTAAAACTTCAGGGGTTTATTGGGAGGGGCTGATGGTTGACCTAGGCAGTGGGGCCTGGTGTGCAATGAGCCTGCAGTGCGAGACAGCTCTGGTCTCTCCCGGTCTGGGAACTGCGGTGGGGGGAGTTGATGGAGCTCTGAACACGGGAAGCTCATGGTCACCGCTCAGCGGGGAGCAGAGCACACCCAGCCTTATTCAGCGTTCCACTCGTCTGTTGCTGTAGAACCGGCCAGCCCCATGCTTAGTGACTTACCACAGTGTATTGTTAAATCTCTCCATTCTGGAAGTCAGCCGGAGGGAGCTGGGTGGTTCTCACAGTCAGAGGGTGGCTGGGACTCCTGTCTTCCGAAGGCTTCTTCATTCCCACATCTGGTGCTGGGCCCAGGTGGCTGGAGCATCAAGAGGCTTTCCTGGGCTTCTCTGTCGCATGGCCTCGTCCACGTGGCGAGCCTGACAGCATGGCGGCCTCAGGACAGCCAGACTTTTTCCATGGGGGCTGGCTTCTCCCAGAGCAGGCGTTGCCAGAGGCCGGAAGCACCGGAAGAGCCAGTCAGTTAAGGGATAAGCCTGGCCCAGTGGCACCGCCACTGAGTTTGTCCTAGTCCTAGGGGCCCCCCCGCCATGTTCAAGAGAATAGAGAAATTCGTCCTCTTGGAGGCGCAGAGGCAAGGGCACAATGCAGAAGTGCAGGTGGGGGAGAGAGGCAGTTGTGGCCGTCTTGGGACAACCCAGCACGGTCATCATCAAAACCAGTTTATCCGCCTCCCCCGCAGGGTCATCAAATAACATAGGAATTCATCAGATTATGCGATTTCTCTCTGGGAAATGCAACGTTAGCCAAACGTTCCCTTTCTTCAACGGGGTGCAGACTAAAGACATCTCTTTACTGTTTAAAGCACGGTGATTCCAGACCCCCAAAAGGCTTGGTCATCAAGAAACCCAGGCTTTTTGGTTTCCCCAGACTCTGCCTTGGGAGCAGGAACAGTTCTTCCCACTGATGGAGCTACTCCAGGCCTCCTGAAGCCCCAAATCTGGGTCAAGAACCAAGAAGACATCTTTTACCCCATCCTCATTCTCTCTTCTCAAGGAACACTTTTCAGGACTATTAACAGAGAATCCCATTCCTTTGGGTGAAAGCCCTTGACCCACCCACTAGGGCTGGCCCCTGACCAAGTGCCCTCCACCAACTTAAGCCCGTTCACAAGTGTGGATTATTCTGATCTGACCTTTTTTCCATGGTAACAGCTGGTATTTTCAACGGGCTGTTGAGTTGCCTCGTTATTTTAAAATAATTACAGACTCCTATGAAGTTGCAAAGGTACAACACGGGGTCCTGTGGATCCTTCACGTGGCTTCCCCCAACACTGACATCTTGTACCAACTGCAGTGTCGTATCAAAACCAGGAAATTGACCATAACGCAGTGCTGTTAACTAGCCTACAGACCACAGGCCTGGTTCCATTTTCACCATTTTGTGCATAGGTGTGTGTGTGTGTGTGTGTGTGTGTGTGTGTTCAAGAGTTTCATCCCCTTTCAGTGGCAGACCCTTCCATATCCGCCCCCCCTCCCAGGACACACAAAGTCACATACAAAAGCTTAATCTAAGAAACAGAAATGGTGCTTCTGCTGAGAACACCATCCCGGTCCCAAGCCCCGGTAACTTCCCTTTGAAGTACTGACTCATGGTCAAGGTTTTGCATTAATGTACCTGGTGATTTGATTCAAGTTGGTCTTACTGATCCAAGTTAGTCTTACTGGATTCAAGTTGGTCTTACTGGACCGGACACTGTGTGAGTGCAAGAACCATTATTCCTCATTGCTCCCCATTTACCACTGGTCACAGGCTGGGAAAGCAAGCGACCAAGCAGCCCCAGTGCTCCTCACCTCCAGGGGCTCACACCCCTTTTGTACGCTGTCCCTTTCCACTGAACAGGGATAGGGTTTCGGGTTGATACAGGACTCATGGTTAAATTTGAACTTCAGATAAAACAGTAATTTTTCAGTCTTTTACAGTATTTCATGGGACATACGAAAAACTTATCTGTTGTTTATGTGAAATTCAAGTTTAACTGGGAAACCTGTATTTTTGCTTGCTAAATCTAGCAACTCCCAGGAGGGCTGGCTGTGCAGCGATAGGATATTAGGGACATGGAGGGTGTGACTTCCTTTTGTGGCTTCAGCCTCGTTCCTCTTTTTTTTTGAGAGAGAGACTGATTGAGAGCGTGAGCTGGGTAGGGGCAGAGGGCGAGGGAGAGAGAATCTGAAGCTGACTCCCCGCCCAGCAAGGAGCCTGACACCGGGCTCGACCCCAGGACCCTGAGATCATGGCCTGAGCTGAAACCAAGAGTCGGATGCTCAACTGACTGAGCGGCCCAGGCGCCCCTGCCTTGCTGCTCTCTTAGTCACTCGCGCTCGGGGAGTCCAGTCACATGTCATGAGGACACTCAGCAGCCGTAGGTAAAGGTTCACGTGGCAAGTTCCTGAGGCCTCCTGCTGACAGCCAGCTCCGCCTGCCAGTTGTGTGAGCGAATCGCCTAGGAAGCGGATCAGCCAGCCTTGGTCAAGCCTGCAGGTAACTGCGGTCCCAGCTGACCTCTTGACTGCAACCCCAAGCGAGATCCCGGGTCCGGAGCAGCATGTGAGTCAGCAGCTAAGTCACTCTTGAATTCCTGCCCACAGAAACTGTGCGCGATCATGCTCACTGTTGTCCCAAGCCGCGAAGTTTGGAAGGTACTTGTTACATTGCAGTAGGTAATGCCGAGGAGCTCCAGTTATTTGTGAATGAGTGAAGGAACCAGTGAATGCATGAGCGATGAATGACTGATGAAGGCTGTGGTTCCTCCCCTCCTCTGCGCGCTTGTGAGGGCCCTTGCCCGACAGATGACACCCAGGCCTGTGGATCCTTGCGTGCCAGGGTAGAGTCTGCACAAACTCTTGAAAGATAAGTAAGGTATCAACCATCTGTATGAAACATTTCAAGGGAAACCAGATTAGCTAATCTCAGCTCATCTGGATTTCCAATCCTCCCCAGTTCAGGACACGCTCTATATTTTTGTGACAAAATTCGAACTAAGAATAAGCCATGTGCAACTGTATAATGTCACCGTCCTAGAAAAGGTACTTGTGCTAGACTTTAAATATATCAGCCTTGAAATGCCACTGGCGGATTGTTTCTATGGTACCAACCTATTTAAAGTTGTAACCAAGGAAGGATTTTTTCCCCCCAAATCTTTCGAAGGCAGTATGGAAATGGGGCTGTGGAAGCGGGTGATGAGGACCGGGGACTCGGGTAACAGAAACTACCCGGGAGGTTTGCTGATGTGTGCAGAGGGTTTGTCTCTGCGACCCCGGACAGACAGGCCTCACTCTCTACGTAGTAGCTCAGGTAAGTTGGCAGAAATGGTGTGGGTGCCCCAGGCGTGGTGCAGCAGAGGAAGCACCCGTCCAGACGTCTGAGCACCTAGGTTTCAGGCCTGGCTCTGTCCTTACACTCGCTGAGTAGCCTGTGCCTGCCCCTTGTGGCCTGACCTCCTCCACCGCTTCATCTGACAAGTGTCCATGGCGCTGTCAGGCTCCTGCTAAGGAGCCTTGTTGCCTGGCAACCCTTCTGGGACAGCTACATGTCTGAGCACCTCATTGGGAATCTAGACACGGGCCTGGATGTCCCCAAGTCCCAAAGCAAGGGTTTTTTTCTGGGCAGTGGTGGGAGACCGTGATGTACGGGTATGAAGTCAGGCATCTACATCTCTGGTTGCCTCTCTTGCTTTTCTGGAGACCGGGCATTTGAACCCAGAAATCCTGAGAAACCACTGATCTTTGAGGCGGAGAGGCCTCCCATGCAGAGGTGTGAGGTTGGGTCTTTCAAATGAAAACAGCGCTAACCATTTACTAAGCTCTTATTAGTCTTCCTATGGCCAGCAGCTTTAGATGCATTCCTGAGCCACCCCTCTTTTTTTTGGTCCTGAAAACAACCCTTTTAGAGCACTACTGTCATTATCCCCATTTTGCAGATGGGGAAACAGGTGCAGTGAGGTGAAGCTACCTACCCCCGTCCCACATCGAGGAAGGAGCAAAGTGATCT